CTGGACTTTGGGTAGTACTCTTCCGACTTGGTCTTGTCGCCCTTGCTGTTGGGAGCAACGGGCAGCGCAGGGTGCATGTCGACTCTTGCGAGGCGATACAGGGTAATGATGATGCCTTTCAGGCTTCGAATGTGTTTTGTGTGGTTGACGGTGATTTTGATTGGTATTTGGTCGCCTCGAAGGAATCCTCCCTTGAGTACATCAATGGTGGCTGTGATGGTTTTGCCCTTGGGGGCTGTTCGGGCCCCACTCTGCGAGGCTGATCCGTCTGTAACAGTGTTGATGGAGCGAATACCGTATTCGGTCCCAGAAGCGTTTCCGTTGCTTCTCTGGCTTCCGTAACTCACGTCGCTTGCCGAAGGACTCCGAGGGCCGTCGGGGTCGTCGGCCAAGCCTGAGTCCAAGGTAGATGCGGGTGGCCCGGGGTTGGTGCCGTTGGGTGTTTGCGGTGCTCCCTCGACTGGCTGTTTTCGCGACTTGTTGCGCGTCCTCCGGGATATGGGTTCGAGCGATATGACTCGGGGTTTCAGTTGCGGAACCGGCGCAATGTCAATAGTGTCGGTGAGGTAGACCTTGGTGTCACACGAAGCAGTTGGAGAAATGGTAGTGGGGCGGGTTAGTGTGGCAGTGAGCATGTAGGATATGGTTCCGCGCTCAAACTGTAGTGTATGGTTAGCAGGCGCGTCGATTGCTAGGCACAAGTGCAACTTACGTCGATGCTGCTGGGCAAACCCTTGGAAGGGAACTCAAGCTCAAAGTTAAAGTGGTATATGCCTTCGGACAACCTGCCCTCGCCGCACAGGACTACCTCGTCCTCAAACAAGGACACGAAGCCATTGCCAAAGTAGCTGCCGCTCTTGCTTCCCTTGCCGGAGCCCACCGTCGACGAGTAGTTTTTGTAGGCGTCGCCGGGCGCATTTGGGTTCTTGAAGACTTGGGCATAGCCGTGCAGCGACACGACCAGGTGGGTAATGCGCAGCGGCTTGACGATCTTGATGATGACGGTTCCGCTGATGACGTCGCCAGGCGCGTAGTGGCGATGTGGGTCGTCGGACTGGATGTAGAACTCGGTGTAGTTGCGCGACTTGGAGGACAAGGGCGACTTGAGGCGGGACAGGAACGATCGGCTCGTGACTGGGGAGGATGGGGCGGCGGAGGTGCGTTTTTGGCTGGAAGTCATACTCCGTGGACTGCGCGCATGGTGCGGCTGCCCGCAACGAGTGTAGAAGGGCGAGGGGCGACTGCGCAGGCGGGAGGGAGCAGAGACGGGAGGGAGTTGCGAAGCGGCAGAATACGGAACGGGCTGGGCTGGACTGGGCTGTGCTGGAGCAGCAGCGTTGTGGCTGCGGTGGGTAGCGGCCGGGAGCGATGC